AAATGAGGTCTGGCCTGTCCAGTCAGTCCCCCTTGCTTCCCAAAGCATAGTGGAAGCAGGCTCCCATTTCCAACAGGTCCCTATTCACTTGTTCTCTGGCTGCTCTGGGCCACTCTTCTCTGTTTGCCAATAGATGTCCACATTAGGCTTACACAACTGCAGAAACATTTTGGATAGGACTATTCAGAAAAATGCTGCTTTGCACACAAATTGTTCCATGGAGGCTGCTTGTTGCCTTTGCCTTAGTTCTAGTGTGATTGAAAGGGAGTTGTGTTCTTGGGACTGCAGTATTTCTCACCTACCCCAATCTCTATCATGTGCAATCTCTTGTGGAAGCTGTCCAGTTTGACACTTGCCTGACCCATAATTAGGCAATAGACCTGATAACAGCTTACAGATAGAGATCTGACGACAGCCTAGAGGAGAGTAGAAAGTAAGGATCCTGGACTTTAAAAAAGCAGACTTCAACTCACTCAGGAAACTGATGGGCAGGATCCCCTGGAAGGCCAGTTTGAGAGGGAAAGGAGTCTAGGAGAGCTGGCTGTACTTTAACGAAACTTTGCCAAGGGCACAGGAACAAACCATCCCAATGTTCAGGAAAACTAGCAAATATGGCAGAAGACCAGATTGGCTTAGCAGGGAACTCTTCAGTAAGCGAAAACACAAAAAGGATGCTTACAAGAAGTGGAAACTTGGACAAACAACCAGGGAGGAGTCTAAGAGTGTTGCTTAGGCTTGCAGGGATGAAATCAGGAAGGCCAAACCAGAACTGGAGTTGCAGCTATGAAGAGACACAAAAGGTAACAAGTAGGGTTTCTACACATATGTCAATAACCAGAGGAGGCTGAGGGAAAGTGTGGGTCCTTTACTGAATGGGGGAGGCAACCTTGTGACAGATGATGCAGAGAAGGCTGAAGTGCCCAATGCCTTTTTTTGCCTCAGTCTTCACAGGCAAAGTCAGCTCCCAGGCAACTGCACCTGGAAGCACAGTTTGGGGATCAGGTGAGCAGCCCTCAGTGGTGAAAGAACAGGTTAGGGACTCTTTAGAAAAGATGGATGCATACAAGTCCACGGGGCTGGACCTGATGCGCCTGAGGGTGCTGAGGGAATTGTCTGATGTGATTGCAGAGCCACTGACCATCATCTTTGAAAACTCGTGGTGATCAGGAGTGGTCCCAGATGATTGGAAAAGAGCAAATATAATATCCATCTTGAAGAAAGTGAGGAAGGATCTGGGGAACTACAGACCGGTCAGCCACACCTCAGTCTCTGAAAAAATCATGGAGCAGTTCCTCAAGGAATCTATCTCAAAGCATTTGGAGGAAAAGAAGGTGATTAGGAACAGTCAGCATAGATTCATCAAGGGCAAGCCATGCCTGACCAATCTGATTGCCTTCTATAATTAGATGACTGGCTCTGTGGAAGTGAAAAGAGCAGTGGACACAATCTACCTTCAGTTTACCATGGCTTTTGATACCATCTCCCATGACATTCTCACATGCAAGCTAAGGAAGTATGGCTTGGATGAATGCACTGTAAGGTGGATAGAAAATGGCTGGATCGTTGGGCTCAGAGGGTAGTAGTCAATGGCTTGATGTCTAGTTGGCAGTCAGTATCAAGTGGAGTGCCTCAGGGTTTGGTCTTGGGGCTGGTTTGTTTCAATATCTTCATCAATGACCTGCAAGATGGGATAGAGTGCACCCTCAGCAAGTCTGCAGGTGACACCAAGCTGGAGGGAGCAGTCAATACACTGGAGGGTAGGGCTAGGATTCAGAAACCTAGATAAATTGGAAGAGTGGAACAAAAAAAAATTCATGAGGTTCAATAAGGACAAGTGCAAAGTCCTGCACTTGGGATGGAACAATTCCATACACCAATATAGGCCGGGGGCTGACTGGCTGGGCAGCAGCTCTGCCAAACAGGACCCGGGGGTTACAGTGGATAATAAGCTGAATATGAGCCAACAGTGTGCCCTTCTTGCAAAGAAGGCTAACGGCATACTGGGCTGCGTTAGTAGGAGTGTGGCCAGCAGATCAAAGGAAGTGATTCTTCCTCTTTCTTTGGCACTGGTGAGGCCACATCTAGAGTACTGTGTCCAGTTTTGGGGCCCCCACTACAGAAAGACTATGGGCAAATTGAGAGTCCAGTGGATGACAACAAAAATGGCTAGTCTGTAGAAGAGAAGACTCAGGGGGGATTTCATAATAGCCTTCAACTCTCTGAAGGGTGATTCCAAAGAGGATGGAGCTAGACTGTTCTACGTAGTAAATAACAGAATAAGGAGCAAGGGTCTCAAGTTGCAGCAAGGGAAGTTTAGGTTAGATATTAACAGGAACTGTTTCACTGCGAGTGTAGTAAAGCTCAGGAACAGGTTACCCAGAGAGGTTGTGGAATCTCCATCCTTAGAGGTTTTTAAGACCTGGTTCGCAAAGCCTTGGCTGGGATGATATAGTTGTGGATGGTCCTGTTTTGAGTAGTGGAGGTTGGACTAGATGACCTCCCAATGTCCTTTCCAACCCTAATTTTCTATGATTATGATTCTATATTTGAAGGGAAGGGAGAGGAGCTATTGAAACTCATGCACAATTTCATACCCCGAAAGAATTAAACAAAATTACAAGAAAGGCATCAGGAAAAACCCTGATGACAAACTCCATTAAGCTGATGTACAGTCTTCCAAGGAGAAGGCAGGGCATTTGAGACTTTTAAAAGTAGAATGCACAGAATCCCCCAAAGGAGTTCTGCTTTGAGAATGAGACATAAAGGACTTTTTCTGCCATCAACTTTCACAGTCCTGTTCTCTGGGCAAAGGCTCTGATCCTGCAGTAGGTCAACACCAGGCAAAGGAAAGGGGCTGAAGCCCCAATGAGTTCTGTGAGGTTTGACAAGAGCACACGGGCCTTCCCACATGCAGCTTTCTTAAGCATATGAGCCCAAGATGTATTCAGGAAAGATTTTTGCACAAGAATATTAGGTGAACTCCTCCCTCCCCTCTGAATTGAAACAAATGCTCTATCAGTAATTAGCTTATACACTTTCTCCAATCTTCAGCATGCCTGAAAACATTAAAAAATGGGCACTGTGCCCTACTGCTGGCAACGTGTGATGGTTGCTGCTGGTACCCAGACTCAGCCCCCAGACTCTGGCTCTGACCCCAGAGGCTCCTGTCAGCCTGAGCCTTCCTCCTAGGCACTATACCCCATGCCAGCAGGCACATGCTGTCAAGTGCCATCACCCGGAGCCCAAGCCTGACCCCCCAGGGCCCCTGGCAGCTGTTGCCATGTTGGTCTCTTCATCAGCAAAAACACAGGCCCGGGGGCCGAACTGGACCCAAGAGACAGCGGACCTCATTGCCATTTTGGGGGGATGTTGCGGTCCAGTGCCAGTTCAGCCAAGTAACGAGGGCCACATCTATGTAGCCATGGCTGAACAGATGCAGGAACGTGGACACCAGTGCTCTGTCCAGCAGTGCCAGGCAGTCCAGGGCTGTGTGCAGGACCATGCCATTCCTGTGTGAGCTGGACCACATCCTGGCCCCCACAGACCCTGGCAAGGCCTGCCATGTGTTCAGTAGCATGAGTGGGCTCCTGGAGCCTGTGCCAGGGCCTGCCAAACAGGAGGACTTAGCAGGGGAGAGCCCCTCAGGGATCCAGCCCCAGGTCCCTGGTGGAATCCCTGCCCTCAGCCTCATCTAGCAGCTCGGGGAGCCTGGGCCACCACCTGCCCTGGCTATTCCAGCAGCAGCTCACCAGCGAGGAGCATGGGTCAGGGATGACCCCTGCACATGCCAGCTCCAGCTCCTTGCCAGAGGTGGCCACTGCTGTGCCTTGGTGCCCTGGGATGCCTCAGCAAGCCGGGTAATGTCTCTGCAGCTGGGAAGAGTCCACCGCCAGGAGTGACTTCCATGCCTATCTGATAAGCCCCACACAGGGAGGAAGACCAAGGGGGCAGGGGGTACCATGGCCACCCATGCCCATGCCAGCTCACCTGCCCACCCCCAGCCTGTATGCCTGGAGACTGGGACCCCACAAAGGGGTGGGGGGCTCTCCCCTCTCCTCTCCTGCCTGCCCTGCCCTGCCCTGCCCTGCCTGGCTGAGCTCCCCCCTTGCCCACTGCAGTCTCCCCTGTTAACATGCCAGGAGGCAGTTCAGACTTTATTGAGAGCGCTGCAGACTGCCAGCTACGCATCCAGGGGCCTGTCACATACAGAGAAACTCATTGATGGCAGCAGCAATCTACTCCTTGGCCGTCGGGGTCAGGCACTTGTAGCATAGGCAGAGATACCCCTCTCGGCGCACATTGTAGGGAAGCACAGACTTGCCTGAGGCATGATCAAAGCTCAGGGCACCATGCCAGGTTTGCAGCTGTGCCCAGGGTGCTGTGGCAATCAGCAGCAGCAGGGCATAATGGGTGAGGCACCCCTCAGTGCACTCAAACAGCTCACTGCAGTGCACCTGGGTGACTCTGACCAGGGGTACACTTGGGGTGCAAGCCTCACATGGCAGGGGTCCTGGCTCAGGCCACCTCTCTGGAGAGGGCCATCAGAAGGAGGGAGCAGGGCGTGTAACTCGCTCTACATCCCAGCCAGGCAGGATCCCCTCACCCCCAGAACCCAGGCAGCACAAGCCCAGCAGCCCAGGAACAAACTGTCTGGCCTGTAGGGAGGAGAAGGGGTGGGAGTTGGTTTACAGCTGCTGTGGCAGCTGCCAGCAGGGGCCATCCTTGGCCCAGCCTGAGAAGAAGACAGGGAAGGTAGGGTATCTGCAGCAAGTGGCAACCAGCCCACCTGCCCCTGGTGTAGAAGTGGGAAGGGAGGGCTTAGCTGGAGGCTGCCTGTGGAAGGGCCCACCCAGCCATGGTCCCTGCATGCATGACCTCTGAACTGAGAGTGGGCAGTGCACAGCCCCTCAGTACAGTTCATGTTATTTCTGGAAAGTTGCAAACTCTTAAAAAGAGTATCTCTGTCCTTGCTCTGCAGGACCAGCAGCTTCATGTGGAGGAGACCCAGCAGCCATCAGCAAAGATGGGCTCAAAGATGCCACCACCATCAGTAGGTGCACTCCACATGTGCCGCCTCTATCAGCACTGGAACCAGAACCGAACAGTGCTCCTGAAGTGGCTGGTCACCATGGCTAAGAAGCAGCTCGAGGACTTTTGGGCCTGGTGCCACCAGGACTTGGAGAGGGAGTGGGAGAGAGGCCAGGTGCACCTTGCCTTCAAGCAGAGGGGACTCACCCTCGAGGAGAGGCAGGTCACCCTTCAAAAGAGGTACCTCACCCTCAGAAAGAGGCACCTCGCTCTCCTGGAGAGGCTGGTGGAGGCACAAAAACAGCAGTGCACTGTTGTGCATCAGGCAATACAGGTCACTGCATCCTTGACACCATGCTGGTCCTGGCAGTCACCTTCATGCTGCCTGGAGCCCGTCCCTGAGCCCTTGCCCTGCCTGACCCCTGTGAGGTCTACAGACCAGCATCTACCCCCACAGTGGGCATTGGAGGAGGTTCAGTACCACCTGCAGCAGCCAAGGCCCCCTGACCCTGGTCCTCATCCTGGTCCCATGGGGGTCTGGCCCCCCTCCTGGGCTGCTGCCTGCTGCTCATCCTACCACCATGCAGCTCCTGAGCAGAAGCTGGCCACAGCTGGGCCAGCTCCCCATGTGGGCCCTGCTGGCTTCAGCCCTGTGGAGGAGGAGGGGGAATGAGCTGAGTAAGCTGGACAGTGCCCATTGTCACCCCTGAGCCAGACCCCAGCCCACTGGTGTCACCATAGCATTTGCACTGGAGGTAGTGTCAGCAGAGGCCAGGGTGCTGGGTGCCTCTCCCTGGGCTCTGCACTGTAGGTGCCTCCTTCACACTGTCCCCTCCTGACAGTTTCACAAAGACACTTGTGTAAATAGTTCAAAGGGGAAGAGGGTCCTTTATTGGTGGTGCTTTATTGGCATTGAGGTTAGGGGTGGGATCTGTTGTGGAGGATGGAAGGGAATCTGGTGCTGTGAAGGGGGGCGGGGGTGGGGGGTCTGTTGCTGTGTTCTGGAGGGAAATAAAGACAGTGTTCGCTGAAAACTGCCTGCAGTATATATGGTTCTCAGGTTGCCCTGTGGGCCTGGGGTCTGTGGGTGGCCACCCTACTGTTGGGGTGGAGGAGGAGGTAGTCCATAAGTGCCTCATGCACATGGTGCCCTGGTCCCCGCTGCTGGGTGCACAGCTCACCCAGGGACTTGGTTGGGTGGGGAAGGCTTGTTGTTGGTGCTGACACCACAGCTGGCACTCCTGGTGTCAGGCATCCTCAGTGAGCCATGCTTCCTCTGCCCAGGCCCCATGGTAGAGCTCCCCACTGGGCCTTGCAGATATTATGCAGTATACAGACTGCAGCAGTGACCCAGGAGATGTTGGCCTTGGCAAACTTGAAGAGGGCGGTGAGGTTGCACCAGCATCCCTTGAGGTGCCCAAAGGCGCACTCAGTTAGCACTCAGCTCTGGCCCAGGTACCTGTTGAAGTATGCCTGGCATGGGTCAAGGTGGCTGATGTAGGGGCATGTGAGCCATGACAGCAGTAGGTAGGCAGAGTCCCAATGAGGAGGGGCAGGATGGTCATGTTGCTCAGCTGCACATCCAGGACTCTTGGAACAAAGAAGCTGCTTTCCACCAGGGTTGGCAGGGTGGAATTCCAGAAAATCTTGGCATTGTGGGCACTGTCACCCCAGCTGGCACAGATGTTCGTGAACACCCTAGTAGGGCCTTCAGCACAATGAAGTGGAAGCCCTGCCAGCAGTAGTAGGGGCAGTCCCCCCAGGATGAATAGGTAACGGGGATGTGTATCCCGTCGAAGGCCATGAGGCACTGGTGGAAGCCAAGTGTTCAGTAGTCTGGCATGACCTCAAGGGGGTAAGCAACCTGAAGCATGGTATTGGCCAACACATCCTGGAGGATGCCACAGACTTCAGGGACAGCCTCCCCACTGGTTGCCTTGCCAACCCCAAACAGGTAGCCAACAGTGCAGGCTCATGGGTGTGGTGAACTTCATAAGGGTGATGGCCACACAGGTCTCTGTGGGGAGAGGCAGATGCATGGGGGTGGCTGGTGCTCCAGATTGTGTGTGAAACAGCTGCACTAGCTCCTGGAACATGACCCAGGTCATCTGGAATGAGTTCAATGACTGGTTCTCATCCTAGATGTGCAGAACGACATGGTGTCACCAGTCCTGGCTGGTGGGGCAGGCCCAGAAGCAGTGGGGCTGGAGCCCGAGGAGCTTGTGGATGGCAGTCACATTGGCATTGATGTGGGCATCATCAGTGTCCCTGCTGGGGTCTGAGAGGTGACCCAGGAGCTGGTAGCTGATGGCTTGGGGGTGGTGGGGCACAGGCCCTGAGCCTGGGTGCATGGCTGCATGGCAGGGTGGAGCAGATGGGGTCCAGGCCCACCAGGGTCAGATGGCAGTCAGTGCAGGTGTGCAGCACAGCTAGTGCAGCAGCAAACAGAAGCCCATAGTGCTGGTCGTCACTGCCAAAGGGAGGGTGAGGAGTGTTCATGGCACACTAAGCACAGGCTCTTGGGACAGCATCCTGACTGCAGACTGCTTGGGGCCAGAAAATGGTGTTCACTCTCCCTTTGAGCATCCAATCTCTGCCACTGTGTGAAATGGGATACTGGGCAAGATGGACCTATGGTCTGACCCAGTAAATGGCAGTTCTTATGAGGAAGACTAAAGGACCCTATAGTGAACAGATTTTGGATAACCAGTCTCCCTGGGTTAGGTGAAAAAACATGCCCTTCTATTGGCTCTGAATTTCCCACCTCTCCTCCTTCAGTTGCCAACCCACGTGTCACATGCCATAATGAACAACACATGACTGCATAACACATGACCAACAGGTAGAACCTGCTTTGGCATCCATGCTTTGGTAAGAACCCATGCTTTGATAAGCATCCTGCTGGAAATGATTGACCACATGTAATGATTTTTAATGCAACACTTGTCTGAAGAAATGCTCTCTCACTGTATAAAACTAATAGACTGGTTTAGCTGTTGTAATAGGTTAACTGGGTGAATAAGGTGTGGAGGCCTAGCCTATTACAGATGGCACAGATGGCCTGTTTGGTTCATACGTTGAGAAGACATTCTTATAAACAAGTGTGATCTATTGCGCTCCACTGGCTGGGCCTACCTGTGGAGTTTGGGGCAATGGTTCCTGTCCAGGAAGTTAGAAAAATTGGGGGTGAGTCCTTGCTTAGGGTTTTGTGGAGTGTCAGGGGCCAGGGACAGGAAGGGAGGAATGAGCTTGGTAAACCTCCAGATTCAACTTGGAGCTGGATACACACCTATGCACTTAATAAAGCCTCCTAAACATTTTCAACCAATTCATCCATTCCAGTCTGGCTCCCTAATTAGGGGCACCTCCCAGGCAGCATGTGTTTCACCCAGCAATGTAAAGTCACCACATAGAGTTAATGCCAAGCACTTTTCCTTCCCCCAGGGCAGCAGCAGCTGCTGCCAGGGCCCAGGGACTTCCAGCTCTGAGCTCCCTCCTGCTGCCTGCCAGAGATATGAAAGAGGCCCTGGCCTCTCCTGTGATCAGTGTGCCACCTTCATAGAGCTGCACCCTCCATCTTCACTTATCTGACATCTACACTTGGCTCTTGGGCAGTACCTCCCCAGCATAAGGGAGCAAAAAGAAGCAGGGTAACTGGGGCTTCAGCAGAGGCCCCCCCTCCTCCTGCCCCCAGCAACCCTGTGCTGGAGGACACAGCCTGAGAGCACAGAGCAGGAACACTGCATGGCTTGTGAGGCGAGACATGCCTCCAGCTGAAAGCTCTTACACTTATTATTTTCCAGCCAATCCAGCCAAATCCTAAGGTCTCTGAATGTGGAATCAGGGGTCCAAAAGATAATTGTGACTTGTGGAAGATTCTTATCTCTGCACCATTAGACTGCAGTGAGGCAAGCAGTTAGCTGTGAAAGGTTTTACTTTGACACTACTTTGGCCAGGGTTAGTTATAATTTGGAAAAGTGCACCCAGCTAGAGCCAGTCAATGCAATTACAAGTAAAGGAAAAGCTTTATTGTTTTTCCATGCATAAAACATTAAGAAAATTAAGGCATTTCCCTCCAGTCCAAGTATTGACTGTAATTATAGATAGCAGGCAGTCTTAGCCACAATAAAATATTGAAGTGCTTTTATATTGCTACTGACTATAGTTTATTATTTAGGGCTTGAAGAAAAGTTGCAATTTAATGAAGTGCAGTTTCACAGAACAATGGAAAGGAGGCCATTACTGCACAATATTGCTGCCTTTTCCATTATTAGTATGAAAGCACTTGCCAGATGAATAGGAACAGGTTTAAACTAACTTTATTACTTCTATGATGTTAATTCACCCTGAGCTGCTCTCCCGCCACATAATCTCTTCTTGGAAAAGAGAAGCACATGTTCACATTGGACATAACTGTCCAGAGCATGTTTCTTTTCCTATAGCATTACACGCTTGGAAAGGTTTTCTCAGTATGGCCCCAGTACATTTAGACAGGGGGGAAAGCAGGCTCTTATGCCTTCTCTAATGGTTTCTTTGGGTTTTTCAGGTTAACATTTTATCCTTAAGCAGCTGTCAGCAGGAACTACTTTGAAGTTCTGTCTTTCAGGATACGTGCCAAAAATCTGCTTGCATTTTTCTTCATAATTTAAGATGGAAAGACACAGCCTCAAAGACATGGGATGCCATGCCAGTACAGCAAGGATGTGAAAGGATGGTTAGGTACTTAGGGTGGTAATTGAGGTTTTGGGAGATGGAGGCTCTGTTCCTTAATCTGCTTGTGTGACTCTGGGCAAGTCCTTCAGGAGGAATGTGTCTAAAGACCTTGATGGATATCAGCCAGATCTAGGAGTGGATCCAGGTTCCTGAACTCCCATGAAAATAGGTGCCTAAATGACTTTTTAGATCTGGCCCCTATGCTCCACTTCCCAGCTGTAAAATGGGGAAAATGAAACTTATCTCTTTCTTCAAGCACCTTGAGATAATGGAGGGTGAGAGCGCCAGATATTGTTACGTACAGGGGAGAATTTCTTTCCATGGCTCAGTGCTAGTTCACGTTTATTTGGCATTTTTCTTTCACCCAGATGTTCATGGCTCCTTACACCAACATACTCTAGGAGGGAGGAGGGAGGAGTAGGGCCCTGGTGAACCTGCATCCTGACTTCCTGGAAGAAACAACCTGTTACCTTTTCTTCACACATCAGTGTCCCCACAGGGCTGTCACTTTACATGCCCTTATGAGTATTCTGGCCTACAGGGAAGCTGCCTGGTAGGACAGCTTCCTGGTCCTTTGCCTCAGAAGGGGTAAAAGGAGTCTTCTTTTTCTACTGTTGCTTGATACTATGTGGCCCTGGAGTTTGAGACACCCTAATGTCAGTGTCTCACTAGCCAAAATGTAATGATGGAGCCCTCTCTTTTTCCACAGCTGTCTTGCAAAGACCTGTAGGGGATCTCTGGCCCCACACTCATTGAGTACAGACTGTTTTGGCCCCATTACAAGAGGATTATACAACTTGCAATTTATTTGTTAGCTAAGAAGGTATTAAGAGAATGACAACAAGAAAAAGGATTGATGTTATTTGTCATGAAAAATGTTTAGTAAGCAGAGCTGATTGGGATGGTTCCATTTTCCTTTGCCTTTTCCATTTCAAGATAAATCCCCCAATTTGGCCTTTTTTTCCATTCTGAATTGGAACATAGGAAAAAACATTTTCAAAAGTTCTCATGAAATACATTTTTGAAAGAATATTTCTGGTTAAAATTTTTTCTTCTGATTTTGACCCTTTTAAATGTTATAGTTTTCCTGTATAGGAAGCAGTGTGTTTTGTTTTCAGATGCCATTCTGAAATAAAAAGCCAATATTTTTCATTTTAAAACTAGAATGAGATACTCTGATTTTAAAATAGTTTTTCAATGAAAATTCACCCAAATTGGCGTGTTTTTCAGAATG